AAACAGTTTCTAACAGAAATCATTGCTTTAAATTTCAGAGACTTTGTGAAAAGTGCCTGGGCTGACATTGAACGGTTCAAAGAGCAGAAGAATCATGATTTGAAGGAGGCACTTATAAGCTATGCTGTTATGCAGATTAGCATGTGCAAAAAGGTATGTGTGGCTTGGGAAAGGCTGGCCCAGAGTGTTTGTCCTGTCAGCAGGGGGGCAGATGCACACTGTCAGTAAGTGGGAACCTGGCAGTCACGGAAGATTGGAAGTCACCACCATAAAACCTCCCACATAGTCCATCCTCTTGACCTCAGTGACATGTTAATGTTGAGATAGATATATATAGATATATATATATATATATATGTAGATCTAGTGTGGTGCAATTTCAATGTGGGCTCTACCTTCTTCTGTGAAGTTCTATGGGACTTCTTTGTAGAGTCTTCTGTTGGAGAAAGTTGTAGATGAGGTTTGCAAATGGAGTATATTCCCACCTATTGATTTTTAACTGTTCTTTTAAAAGGGAATTCAGGTTTGGACAAATGCAAAGGAATGCTTCAGCAAGATGTGACTATCTGGAAATGAATTCCTCCTCCAAGTGCCAGAGAACGGAAGCACAGTGTATAACACCAATGTTATATTACTACATGACTTACATACAAATCATGAAATAAATGTAATTGTTAATAAAGGATGAAAAGGACATGTTGTTAAATGTTTAGCCCTGGCTGCCACTTCTGTGGCACATTTTATATGTGGTAGCAAAGAATGCAGGGGTAAAAGAGTTACTGAAAACTACAGCTCTGTATTGGGACAAAGGTATTGGGAAAGTTATCCCAGAAAGTATGAACTAAACTGTTCAGAGACTTGTGAAACACCATGCTCTGTAATGTGTAGATCACTTCCAGATGCCCTTCTTTCCAACCCTTGCTGGTTAGAATTTTTAATGCTCAAGGGTGCTTTGGTTTTATAATGGGGCACTCAGTTGTGTTCTCGAGGTCTGTGCCATAAGAGGACAAAAATTGAAATATTGTAATGCCTAGGGTTCATATTTAAATGCCTTGCATGTCCATAGAGAAATATGTTTTTCCAGAGTTCAGGTTAAGCAGTCTCAAGCTCCTGAGATGTTTGAAACTCTCTACAGTAGAGGTGTTGTACAGTGGTTTGATAACAATATTCTGCATTTACTGGTTCCCACTTCAGTTTTGATACGGGCATTGATTTCTTACTAAACTTCTTCCTGCAAGTAAAGGTGACTGGTGATCCAGCTGAGCAGAAAAACCAAAGTCAAAGCTGGTAAGAAGCAGATGCAACTTCTCTTTGGTTGTTTGGAACCTGTTTACACTTGGTGTGAATCTGACCTGTGGCACCTGTAACTGAAGGGGTTTGGTTCTTAAACAAATAGTTCTTAATGAAGGTGCTGAAATAATAAACCTGGTGCAGCTTCTGTCATACTTCAGAGCAGTGATGTGCAGAACCCACAAAGAGCCAAGGTGTCTGTTTGGCCCTTGTAATGATGTGTCAGTGTGTGTGAGTGTGTGTGAATGTGTGTAATATACACACCTATATAACATGATTTGCAGTTACGGGATTTGCATTAAATATTTCCAATTATGAAAATCTCTTACCACTGTCTAATACTGGGCTTTTTCTACATCCTTACTGAAAGTTCCTGAAGTCTTGTGGAATTTGTCAGACTTGATTGGTAGTCCTGAAGGAAACTTTGTAATAATCTGTTGAAAAGTGTATTTAATTATTTTGGATTATAACACTATTCAGACTTTTTTTTGTAAGAGATACTCCCAAAAGTCCTTAAATGTTCTTTTGATAAAACTATCTAAATGTATTTACTGGTATGTCTTATTTTTGTCTCTTCATCCTTTCTTTTCTATAAAACCATTGTAAAGAATGCATAGGTCTGATGCACACTACAGCTTAAAACTCTGAAGTAAAGTGCTGGTGCTCTGAAAACCTGTGTTGGCTTTTCCAAAGCATGTGACAGTGACATGCCTGGCTGAGGGATGTTGGTGTTGGGCACAAAGAGGTCTCTTCCTTTAAACATTGGAGAAACATTGTTCCATTGAGAGGTTGCAGTGTCCAGTTCTGATGCAGGCTGAAGGACTCTCACATTCCAAACCAAGAAGTTGCACACTTGATGTATTCAGTAAACCTTCTAAAAGAGTGGTGCCTTAATACAATACCATGAGGCGCTCAGAGTAGGTATTTTTCATGCACTTTGATTTTTGGTAGATCTTTCTGGTGCCTCCTTACACATGTCACTTGCTGTACAGCTCATTAAATATATTAGTATGCCTTTTTTTTCCTTGCTAGTTGTACTAAAATTTAAGAAGGGAACAAAACAGTTCTTGTAAGTTTTGTGCCAAATAAGATAAATAAAATTGCTCTTTGATATTTTTGTTACGTTGGGGTTTTTTTGTAAAAAACTCTTTCCTATTCTGAAAACTGCTGTTGGATTTCTTGGAAGTGGTTCTTGTCCATCTTAGCTCTCAAGTGGCCTCCAAATTTGGGTTTAAAATTTGGTGAATTGTGCACAGCTTTCCCTTTAGGTAGGAGCATAGTGCTAAGGCCAAAATTAGATGCTTGCTGCAAGTAAGCTGTCTGGATTTCATGTGTATCTCCATCTAGTTACGAGAAGATGCTTTTGAAAACTTTTTTTTGCATTATTTGTGAAATTATGTGAAAGGCAAATTAAGCGTAATTTGCAATAACTTTGTTTCTTTTACTTCTGTCTTTCCAGGAAAGCATTGCATGTGGTCTGTGTAGTTGGGGATCATAGCAAACTGTGAAGGTTTCTCCTGCTCTTTTAGCTTTTCAACTTTTTAAGGTGAAACCAGCCAGTTAATTGCTGTTTCCATGTGGGTAACAGAGCCCCATGACAGATGTACACTTGCAAAGTGTGCATTTTTCCAGTTACAGTGTGGATTTAACTCCTGTAACTCGTTCCACTTTGCCAGTTATCCAGTGAACATCAAAAATTGGTGCCTCGAGAATGAGGTAGGAAGAACATTTTAACTTAATCTCAACAAAATGCTTGTATGTGAAAATGTTTACCTGCCTGGATCATCTATCTGCTGATCCTATTGCTTTTGTCCCAGGAAGCTTTGCTAGGTAGATTATCACTGCTCATGCTATCTCTGACCTTCCCCATTAACAGCAGGACCTTTTCTTGTGACTACTGTTGTCTGTTCCTGAAATGTAGCAGGGATGACAGAGCCAACTGCAATGGAAAGAGAGTTTTATGAACTCTCTTTTTAAAATGTATTATTTCAGTATCTGGCAGATCAGCCCAAGCAGAGTTAACCTAGCAGCTGTGTGCAGGGACTGCCTTGGCAGGCACAGAGCACATCTTGGAGCTCGAGGCACACTGACGAGCTTGTCTTGTGCAGGTGAGCCAGAGGAAAGCGTTGGCTGTGGCCAAACACACAGCAGAGCCAGCAGAGCAAGGCTGCAGTCCCAGAGCACTGCAGCTCAGGATGTCTTCCTGTATCACTCTCCCTGCCACTGAAATTCCTTTGTTCATCTTGGTTCAGCAACTGAGAAACGCTTTCTAACGTTGCCTAAAGATGACACAGAAGGAAGTTGTCTGAATTCCCTGTGCTTGTCACACAATGGCCCGACAGGGCTCTAATCCACATGTCCTTGTGCCCCTGTTCTGCCCATCCCAGGTGCCTCTGACTTGTGTTTGCCTGCAGAGCTCTGTGGGGAGACACAACGTGCAATGAAAATCCCCACACAGGGCTGCTCTAGAAAGAATGCAAAGAGAGGAAGCAAGTGGAATGGGAGCTGGGAAACTTGGAGCACAGGCCTTGGTGTGAAATCCAAGTACAACACACCTGGATGTCACCAGTAAAAGCAGTTGCCTTTGTAAGCAGTTGCTTTGCTGCTGCCCTGAGTCCATGCTGCTCCTGCCTGGCAGGCTCCCACCTGCTGCCCCAGCAGAGCTGTTTCCTAGGACAGGGACGTGTCCCTAAGGATCTCACTCAATCTGTCCCCTGAGAGACCCTTGGCAGTGTAGGACAGAAAGTGCTGTGAGCTGCTTTGTTCTGTGGGTGGCCCCTGGGGCCAGAATAGCACTGCCATGGGTACGGACCATGGGAAGCCTGGAGAGCCTCAAGTTCCTGCTTGAGCAAAGGATTGTGGCTCTGGCTGCTGTGTTCTGGTGCTTCCTGGTGATACAGTGTTATAAAAGGACTTTGTGATTCTGACTTTCTGAAGGGTCAAATGCAGAGGAGAAACTTGTTTGTTTTGTTGATTGGTTTTGTTTGTTTATTTGTTTTGTTGGCTGCCTTTTGGTTGCTTTTGAACAACTTACCTAGACTGGCCTTCCTAATGCTGTGTTTTCTACAACAAGAATATTTTCTCTGACTGGTTGTAGAACAAATGTAAAACGTGAAACAAAGACAAATTGGAAAGGAATTTGGGTTGTTTTGGAGGAAAACAGCTTCAGACAGTGGTAGTACAGAGTATTTGTAGGTAAGGAGAGATGGTGCCATGCCCAGACAGGTAAGGATGGGGTGAAGCTGCATGAGGGCAGACAGGTTTTGAGAAGAGATACACAAGAGGGTAAGGAGATGAGGCAGGGAAGAAGGACAGCAGAGATGGGATGGGTGGTGGAGCTGGAGAGGAGAACAGATGGAAAGCTTCTGTTCCTGCAGGCTGGGCTGTGCAGGAAAAGGGAAAAGCAGCTCTGTGTGGTCCTTGTTTTGGAGAAGGCAAGAAAGTGAGGAAGATGAAAGCAGGAGGTAAGGAGGTTTTAAAAGCTGTCAAAGACAGCTATATCATACTATCATGATAATCTCTGACTGAAACTTGTAGTGATGACTGTGGTCTTGATGCTGAGTTCAACACTGATAATGGTGTGACACAGAAGGAGAAATTTAATTTTGTTTAACGTTTTGTATCTATATTTAATATGGTAGTTTTCACCTTCCTGAATAAATAAGAGAAGAAGCATCAGTCTTCAAAAACTCAGCATAAACTTTGTTGGCACCCCAATCCTATAAACACCAGCATAATCAACCAGGGGATCTGAGGGCCTGCTGTCTGATGCAGCTCTAAAAGAGGCTGCCCCGACAAGCCATGGACTATAATTAATAAATACATTCTTCATCTGTAGCAAACATGTTCTGTTATCTGTAGGTATCTGGCATGTGATAACACCAATTATATTTTCCTCAGAGTGCAGCTGTAAGTGGCCGCAGAAGATAAAAAGTGATGAGGCTCCCCGGGACGCAGAGGTGGAAATGATGCAGTCAGAGGGAAAAGGCAACCCCGACCGCCCTCTGGTGGGTCTCCAGCAGGAGCTCGCAGGGCCCGGGATGCAGAATTCCACTGCGGGAGGGAGGTCAAGGCCACCTTCTCCCCTGCTGCCCTGCAGAGGTATGAGAGCAATGCAACAGCCGTGGTGTAACTGAAGCCTAAATACAAAGGGATGGGTAATCTGGAGCAGTTTTCCATGCAGGATTTAGTGCTGAGTTTGTGTCCTGCTGTAGGTTGCTGTTAATCATACAGTGTATTACACTGTGATTTGCAGCTTGGGTGCCCTTTGGCACAAACACTGCTGTGAGTTGGACTCGGAGGTTTCTGAGCTAACAGTATTTTTTTTCTTATTTATTTATTTTTAATAACTTCTTGGATGTGCTGCCAGCTGCATGGTCAGTAGGAATGATCTGTGGCCACTTGTGCAAGCTGCAGTCCTGTGTAGGAGATGGCAAAGTCACCCTGCCCCAGTTCTGCTTCGAATGAGGTGTTTCTGAGGTGTGTGCTCTCTGGTGTCAGAGAGGCCAAGTCTCGTGATGGTTGTTCCTGGGGCCAAAAGGATAGACTCCATTTCCAGTCTCCTTTGTTTTGATCAGATTCCAAGCACAGTGCTGGTGCCTTCTGCCTGCCCACCTCTGATGGCCCTGCAGATTCTGGATGCTCAGAGGGCAGCAGGGAAGAGCTGTGGGCTCTTTGTGCTGCAGCAAGATCCCTCCTGGGCCACATGACAGAGCTGTGCATCCCATCTGCCATTTGCCAACCTGAAGTGAGTGTTGCAACAGCCACAGCAGCGTTCCCACTCATGTGTGACATTCCCTGTACTCTGCCACGGATTGTGTTTGCCACTGAGGTCAACCTGCTCACTCTAAGCTGCCTCTGGTGCTCCTGCTGCTGTTCAGAGTGGCTCTTCCCCCAGTCTGACCACATTGGGGCTGCCTGGAGCTGTGCAGGACCTGCCACTGACCTGCTCCTTGCTTTCTTCAGGTGATTCATCACTGCTTCCCAGCAGCACAGCCTCCTCTTCTTCCAGTGGCTCCCTAATCCTTTCCACCTCCATCTCCCCCGTGCTCTCAGTAATGCTCTTACTGCCCAAGCTGTCAGTGAGGACTCTGACCAGCCCAGAGCCAACGGGAGAACACAGCAGGACTCTGCTTCCCTAGAGAACTCCCATTTCCAGTGGCATCCTGAAGGCTTTGACCAGATTTTAGTTTATTTTAAGGAATGCCAGGCTGGCTTTCTGATTCAGAGCAGGACTGGCCCAACCGGAGGGAGGAGAGCTGCGATGCGGTGGATTGCTGCATTAATACTATTGCTCCATCAAGGAAGCTGTAATCTCTTAAAATGAGAATTAATTTGACAAGATTTGTTTTTCATGAATGTGTTGATTGGCATTAATCTCTTTTAGCTCGGTATCAACTATTCTTTTCCCAGGGATTAGCTTCAGACTGACAGGCCTATAGTAATTCACTCTTTGTAGTTATATACTTTTACAAACAGACAAAATATCAGCCTTCTTTTAGACTTGTTGAATTTCTCCTGTAATCCAAGAACTGTTGAAAACCAGCATCCATGGTTCAGAGATCTCTTGTGTTGAGACTTCTGTAAGCTTTAGAAAAAGCTACAAGGATCTGAGATACAGACATTAATTTAAGCAGCTTTTGTCTAGTGCTGCACCCTGGGTGTGTCTTGGGAGAAAATATCCCCTTGTGGTGGAGCTGAGGCACAGCTATGGTTGATGAAGAGCATGCACAGACCATGATTTGGTTTTAGCATCCTCCTAAATGAAGTGAAAAGCATATTCTTGTGTAGTTTAACACATGATTACATTATAGCTCTGTGCTGTTGCTGAAGTTTGACTCTCTGACACCTCAGAATGAAAGTGAGGAATTAACCTTTGAACCATGTAAAGTGTCAGGAATATTCACAGATGGAGTGAACTCATTTGTGAACTAGGAGTAGCCAAACTATTAGAGGAGATCAGGAATCCTCCTTTCAAAATTTGAAATCATTCTCAGTGTTAAATCTTCCCAAAGAATATCTTTCTTCCTTATAGGTAATTGATCTTTCCTAACCTCTAATTTGTCTCTATGGTTGGTTTTAGCATTCCTCCCCTCTACCTAATACTTTACTGATTATATTTGTCCTGTAAGCCTGGACAGGCCTTTGAACATGTGCTGCCTTTTTCAATTTCAGGGCACTTACTTCAAATATCCAGAAATAATTGCTGGTGATCATTCAATTTCTGTTCAAACTCCTTCTCCCTGCTGATGTAGTTACTACTATTTTTAGCTTTAAAATGCTAAATACATAGTGCTTAGCTGGGATTTTTCTGTTTTCAACCAACAAATATAATGAATTTGATTACAAGGCAATTTAGTGTTTGCTGGGTTTCAGGTTATTTTTCAATTTGAAAACATTTCCTTTTTCTCTCTTGTGTTGACATCCACCCTGCAGCTTCCTGGGCTGGAGCTAAATGAAGGTGATGATGATAAGTAAAATAAAGTGATGTTTGCCAGCACATATGTGAATGGCAGGACAGATGCCTCCATGCTGGTCCTTGGCAGATGGTCCTGGGGAATTATTGACTCGATCCAGGTAATGTTTCTGCTTTCCCCCTATGTCCAGTTACTGCAGCAGGATGGCTTTGGCACTGTGGTGCTGGAGATTCCCAGTAAACATGCAGGGATCAGGGAGCTGGGTCTGATGGAGATGCTCCTGGAGGGTCACAGGGCAACAGGTTCCTGGTTTGGGGGTGCTGACAGGATTTGTCTGGTTTCAGGGGAGCAGAGGGTGGTGGGCAGCTGTAGGACCCCACCTTTGGGAGCTAATAACCTCGGTGTTGCAACATCCCTCTTTGAGTAGGCAGATCAGGATGTAGAGGGGAAATTAGCTGTTAATAGGGGCAGAGCTGGAGATAAGCAGGGGGAAGAAATCAGAGCTCTGCAAGCCCATGTTTGGGTAAGGTTGCATTTGGCAAACACACTCTCAGCTGGTGGAAGGGTTTATAAATTTGGCCTCCAGGACTGGCTTTCACATGAATCTGCCAGGGTCAGCAGCTGTGTCGGGGTTACTTTTCCCATCTGAGGAACAACATGTGGGATGCAAGAGCTCTGGTCTTGAGCAACAGAGCTGAGAGTTGGTGCCTCGGGTTAGAGTGGCTTGTGTGGGGTGAGGTGGCAGTCTTTGGTGTCCTGGGCTGACTGAGCTGCCTGAGCAGGTAGACAGGGTTGTGAGCTCAAAAGTGGTCCCTGACATTTTGCCTGAGGATATGAACCTTTCCTTTCTTGTCACCTACCTTTCTATTGGTGTTGATGCTTTGGCATGTGAATCTTTTCACCAGGTATTGGTAACACCCTTGTGCTAAGTTTGTGCCTGAAAATGTCATAACTGTTGATTTTGTGTGTTACCCACTCTGTGGCATGGTACAGGCAGCTGGTCCATTTCCTTCATTGCTTTCATTCTGAACACTCCAGCTCCACAACTCTTCCCCTTCAGCCTCCCTTCTTGCTGGTTCAATCCCTTCAAACTTGTTTAGTCTGCCTGAGCCTGATGGTGAGAAAATTTGGGTGGCTCCTACTGCGGCCATCCACAGTACACAGCCTTCCCACTGGAAGAAGGTGCCACAAAACCTTTATCTCTCGCTTAAAATGCAATTGCACCCATGGTTTCTTTCTGCTCTTCCTATCCATTGATTAAGGATGGAAAGGGTCTCAGTAAATGTTGCTGAGATATCTGCTTCTTCATGTTGTGCAGAGTCCTCTAAGTCCTCACCAACACTCCCAGCCTCCTGGGATGTACACTGGCAGGGATGGCACTGCTTCTTTACAGGTGGCTCCATAATTAGGTGTCCCTAGAAATATCAGCTTAATTACATTTTATATATTGGCTCTAGAGAGGCAGGAACTGTGTCCCTTGAAGGACGATCTTCTGTTATCCAGAAATGTGTGGTTTTTTGCAGTGACTGAAGAGCTCTCAGGCAGCGTGGGTTGCCTTTCAGATTGGGTTGAGCACCCACCGTCAGCGATGCTTCTCGTCCCACCATTTGTATTCCTGCCCTTTCCTCTTCTGTCTCCAGCCAACACTGCTTTGTCCTTTTGTCTCTAAAAACTGCAGAGACTCTTGCTTAGCTTTGATATGAACCATGCCCCCACCAGTCACTTTTCCTTTTTTCCCCATCTTCCTTACAGAGCGAGTGGCAAGTCCTCTCTGGCTGGCTTGTCCAGGAATTCTTCAACCACTGCATCAACGCTTTTCTTCCAAAGCACTGATTTTCCTGTAGCAAGGTGAGCAGCATTCTCTTTGAAGGAACCTCTCCTGCTGCAGGACAGCGATGTGGAACACAGCAGCAAGCAAGAGGTGCACTTCCCCCACTGAAATATCCTTTTCATGTCTCACAGCCATTCCCCTGAGCAGGGACATCTCTGGATCCAATGAATGGAAAAGCAAACTGTTGCGTGGCTGTATGGGAACTCTAAATCCAATTATTAGATTGCCACAATCTGTGGAAAGAAAGGAAAATAAAGCACAAACCATGAAATAGCCTCCACTTGCAGACTGAGTGTTTGTGCCATTGTTGTAATCCCTTGGGTCAGCACACACCCAAGATGTTCCTTCACCTCCAGGTGTTTGAAGAGGCTAATATTTGGAAGGACAAGTTCTGCTGAGTGTAAGAGTTCAGTCTGGTTTGCATGTCCCAGAAGACAGTAATTCTGGAGTCATTTCGGTGTAGCATCCCTGGGTGCTGGGTGTGAGAGAGAGTCGGTCACATCCCCAGGTAGGTGTTTCAGGCAGGTTAAAAGAATTGCTCCTTGGAGATCCCTCTCTGTCTGCCTTGACTGCACAGGGAGTTGCAGAGAGATAATTAGATTTCAGATGTAGTCTACCCTAAATAAGGAACAGAAGCAGCAGTGGGTTTCTGTGGGTTTGCTTTTCGCTTTGGCCTCTTTTTATTGGTAAAAATTAGAAAGTGGGAATTTTACAGAGACTTCTTGGATTTGGTCCAGAAACACTAGATTTGCTGTTCTCTAGGAAAAGGAACCCCTTTCTTATAGGTGTTGTTTTTTCTCTCTGCTTGGGGGGGGAAAAAAAAAAAAAAAGTAAAGTAGTTTGCGGGTGGGTGTCCCTGCAGCACCTGGGTTTATCTGCTTGGACCGCAGGACATTAATCCCAGAGGAACCAGGTGCTGGCTGGAGAGCTGAGTGTTTTTTGCTTCTGGGGATGGCTGTGGGCTGCCAGAGAGGAGTCAGCCGGTGGTATCTGGGCTCCCTGTGGGCAGAACCGCCGCTAATCTGCAGACGAATGTGTTTCAACAGGAAAAACAAATCCTGTCCGTACCTGCGCCCGCTTGCTCCTGCCGGAGCCAAATCGCAGCGCTGGCTCGTAGGCTCCGGGCACCGGCAGCGCCCAGGCAGCGTCACTCCCTGGGTCGGAGGCTCTTGTGCAAGCCCCGAGCAGCCGGGGGGGGTCCGAGAGGAGGCTCCGGGCGGCAGCGCCAGCCCGTGCGCGGTTTTGCAACGCGATCTCTGCTCACGCGTCCCGAGGCGCTCCCGGCCCCGCTCTGCTCCCCCTGCCCGGCTCTGCTCCCCCTGCCCGGCTCTGCTCCCCCTGCCCGGCTCTGCCCCCCCTGCCCGGCTCTGCCCTCCCGGCCCCGCTCTGCTCCCCCTGCCCGGCTCTGCTCCCCCTGCCCGGCTCTGCTCCCCCTGCCCGGCTCTGCTCCCCCTGCCCGGCTCTGCTCCCCCTGCCCGGCTCTGCTCCCCCTGCCCGGCTCTGCTCCCCCTGCCCGGCTCTGCTCCCCCTGCCCGGCTCTGCTCCCCCTGCCCGGCTCTGCTCCCCCTGCCCGGCTCTGCTCCCCCTGCCCGGCTCTGCTCCCCCTGCCCGGCTCTGCTCCCCCTGCCCGGCTCTGCTCCCCCTGCCCGGCTCTGCTCCCCCTGCCCGGCTCTGCTCCCCCTGCCCGGCTCTGCTCCCCCTGCCCGGCTCTGCTCCCCCTGCCCGGCTCTGCTCCCCCTGCCCGGCTCTGCTCCCCCTGCCCGGCTCTGCTCCCCCTGCCCGGCTCTGCTCCCCCTGCCCGGCTCTGCTCCCCCTGCCCGGCTCTGCTCCCCCTGCCCGGCTCTGCTCCCCCTGCCCGGCTCTGCTCCCCCTGCCCGGCTCTGCTCCCCCTGCCCGGCTCTGCTCCCCCTGCCCGGCTCTGCTCCCCCTGCCCGGCTCTGCCCTCCCGGCCCCGCTCTGCTCCCCCGGCCCCGCGCTGCCCCCAGCCCCCCCGCCACCCGCGGCCGCCCCGCTGTTTGTTTGTCTCCTGTGCGTTTGTGAGTTCCGCCAAAACTCGGCGTTTCAGCACAAATGCTTGTTGACGTCACGGTCACAGGCGGGGGAGCCCCGGCACAGGTTTGGGGACCGCGAGTGGCAGCGGGAGGGAGCGCACAGGGCAAACCCACGCTGTGCCCCGCTCTGCCAAGGGACTCTTGATCCTCTGGGGCTCGGCAGAGAACTCCAAATCTAGACTAAAAAAAAAGCCAGAAAAAGAGATATTTAAGGCATCCTTTTCACAAGCTGACCGATTGATTTTGTGTTTCTGCTTCTTTGGCTTTTGGTTGCAAATCAGGCCACTTGTCATGAATTTTGGGAATGGAAATAAACCTGGAAGCCCCAGGACCCAGAGGGGCATTCACTGTTATGGGATAAGTGTTTGCAAATGACAGCTGGTACGCTGCACTCAGCGTGGTGGGGGGCGCAGGGGAGGAGAAGCCACTGCTGCTATTTGCCAGCACTCTCAGGGAAGAAATGCTTGCTAGACAGACTGGTTTGTGACATAAATGTAAAACAACAGCAGAAAAGAAACCCAAAAGAGCCATCTAAAACCTAAGAAAAGCCACTTGCTGTTGGTCTTTTCTTGCAAGTTGATATATTGTCTTTTCTCTAATGATGGAAACAAAATCTTTCAGCTCAAGTTTTTCCTACTGGACAGTGTCTATGCAATAAACTATTTCCATTTTGGACCTGGAAAGTTAAAATTGGCTTACCTGTCAGAGAAGAGGCAGATCTTGGCCATGATGCTTCCACTCCCATCCAGACTTCCTCAATGTTTGGAGCAGACTGATCTGAGATTTTTCATCATACATGGCTCCAGATACAAGGCTTTGCTCTAGCTCCTCCAAGACTCTTTTTGGATCTCCCATTTGGCTGGGCACCATCTCTGACAAGATCTTCGGGAGTAGAGCCTGGACTTGTAGCTCCTGTTTAGAAAAAAAAACCAAACAAAACACTCCAGGGCAGAGAGTGTGCAGTCAAGGTGCTCTGCTGTCCTGCAGCCTCTTCTGTGCTGACTTTCTCCAGCTGAGTGGGAGATGCTTCTTCCCTTCCTCTTCAGGTGTAACCTCAGCTACTGGCAATACCCTCATTTTCTTTGGTTTGGGGTTGTTTGGTTTTTCCCTCCTTATTTGAGAATTTGTGTCCTTTTTCCCTGTGACATTGTCTTTTGCTCATTCTTAATATTTCTGTCTTTTCTCAGAGCAGTTGAAGGAGTCAAACTGTGGGTGAGTCTGTGCCATCCTGGCCACGGCACCAGTGCTTTGGATGCAGCCATAAATCCTGAGACTTGGAAGGAGCTCATCTACTGACAGCAACGCACTCGTGGGTCTGCTTGATGCAAATGATTTGTGATGTATCACTGGGCTGGGCTGCCAAGATGTAGGTTAGGGGCAGATGAACTGGAAATCACTGCAGAAAGATGAGGATGCAGTAGTTAGCCACCTCCATCCTTTCAGTGTCCATGGCACAAAGCAGGAAAATAAGAGAGACGGATTCAGCTGCCAGCAGCTCCCACAATGAAGGGCTGTGGCAAAGGCTGTCCCTGGTTGCTGGGGGTCTCTGTGCTCAGGGCTCAGGCACATGGGCACAAGTGGTACCAGTGGTGGCTGTGCTGTCCCTGGAGCTGCACATTTCCAGGGCTGTGTCTCCTCTGTTCATCCCCTGGACAGGACACTGGCAGTCTCTGCCCTCTTTCAGTCATGCCTGAGTCGTTTATGGCCACAAATTGGTGCCAATATGAGATTCACTGGTACTTGCTGGCATCCTTAAAAACTGTTTTAAGAGGGGCTCAGACTTGTGTTCCTCTGCACTGCAAACAAAATCGGCTTTTGCTAAGTTTCCAGGAAGGGCCCTTTTCCACAGGGGCTGCTGCTCCTTGGGTACCTTTCCATGGGGATTGCATTGGAGCATTCCTCAGGGCTGGGGAGATGCAGGCCTCCCTGTTCTTGCAGAAGTTATGGGAAGGGGAAGGGGAAACAGAGAGACAAACCACCCGGTGCTGTGGCCACCGTGGGCTGTCTGCTTTGGGAAATAAACAGAAGGCAAGTTCCTTCTGTGTACCACGGTCCACTAAACTTGCATCTCATACCAGTTTAGTGCCTGCTGGCTGCTGATGTCAATTTGGAGGGAAAAACCTGTTGTGGGATGTTACTTCAGGTTGTGCAATGAAGTATGTGACTAGCTGGCAATTAATGAAATGGCAGATAAGGGTTTTTTGGGCTGAGATCACCCATATTTTGTTCTGTGTGTGGATTGCTCTGCTCTGTGACTGCCCTGCTGCAGATGGCAGCTACTCATAACCTCTTCCTCCCAGGGCTCTGCAGTAGCAGATATGGTAATTCCCAGGGTAGGTGTGTGACTGGAAAACACACCAGCTGCCATGGGAGCCTTCTTTCCTGTGTGTGTGGTCAAGTGCAACCCATGGCCCTGGAGGCTTCTCACAGGTTTCAGAAAGTTTGTACTGGTAGGGTGTGTTCAGGAGAGCACACAGCAGTGTATTTATGGAGGAAAACTCATAGCAGAATGAGAACTCCAGTGCAGCTCCTTGATGTAGCTGGACATCTCCAAAGAGGCACTTGCTAGCTGGTCATCATTTCACTTTCCCTTGGTTCCCCTGATTTTCTTACTGACTCGTTCCTTGCAAAATTCCATGTGCTTTGCTCCTCCAGCTAGCAGCTCTAGGCTGCCTCATGCTCACTGTCAGCAATCCTTTATTTCACCACAAAGCAGGGGCTGCAGGTGTGGCCCTGTGTCTCTGGTGCCTTCTTTGCTGTATTCTTGCTATTTGTATTCTTTAGTAATTGCCAGGGAATCTCGAGAGGGGTTTAGAATAAAACCCAGTGACAAGTTAGTGTGCTTAGCAGTGTGACAGCAGGCAGTGTCTTGTCCCACCTTTTCCAGCTTGGAAAAGGTTCCAAAGGAAGAAATCTGGGTTGCTGGTAGCTTTTGGTGGGCTATGATGGTGGTTGGAAATGTCCCTGTGGGAGGAGGCAGTTTAAAGAGTGATTTAAGGGCTTTAAGGTGTTGGGAGGGAAGCTGGGGAAGGGCAGGACCATGTGCACAAGGGAATGCCCGTCTGCATGGAGGCTACAGGGAGGGGATGCATTGCAGGGGACCAATGCCCCTGGTGGGAATGGGGCTGAGCTGGGGGGATGCCATGGGATGCAGGGGAGGGATGCAGGACCTGGGCACATCCCGCAGTGCACAGGGGTGACAGCTGCTGGGGTGTTTAGAAGCCA